CTTTTAAGAGTTTTTTTTAAGTTTAGAACAATTATTTATTTTCCACACTCCGTGCATGCGTGGGTTTTCTCCGGGTACTCCGGTTTCCTCCCACAGACCAAAAACATGCATGTTAGGCTGATTGGTAACTCTAAATTGTCCCTAGGTGTGGGTGAGAGAGTGAATGGTTGTTTGTCTCGTTTGTCTCTATGTGGCCCTGTGATGGACTTGCGAACTGTCCAGGGTGTACCCCGCCCCTCGCACAGTGATTGCTGGACATGGGCACCAGCGACCCCCGTGACCCAAAATGGAATAAACGGGTAAAGATAATGGATAACATATACAAGAGAGACAGTCTGGCCTGGGAATGTGGCTGGACTTCTCTGCTCAAATTGCTGCTCTTACAACACGACTCCAAACCCACGGATAAAACATGGACCATTAAATCCTTTAAAAGGGGCACTGGGAAGTGGTATCCCTAAAATTCTCTTCATCACATGTGATGAAGTATTGATTTTTTAGTTGTAAGCATCATGTCTAATAATCAAACTATTTATTGTTTCTGTTATGTCTTAACATAAAAAAAACACGTACTGCACAACGTCGTTGACAGGAACACTGAGCAGCCTGCCATCTAGTGTCTGCACATCCACAGAGAAGCCAGTTAGTGCCTGTTGGGAAGGGAATCAAGTGGTGTCAGTGTTTAATCAGCCTTAAAAAATCTACAATAAACCCTTGACATGACTCACCATCTCCAGAGAGATACTGGTCTTGTAGATCAGGTCATTGTGTTGTCTCATAAACAGAGGATGACTCTTCTGTCGGACTATAAGCACAATATCTGCAGGGATGCAGTTTGGTCCCTGAAAGCAAAACAAAACGATAAAGATGTAGGACTTCAAAACCCAAAGTGCTGTGCATGAGTTAACTTTCAATCAAATTTAAGTAAACTGTGCAACATAAAAAGCAGTTTTGTATTGATTTTAACACAACATGTGTGAAATAAAGACATTTATTCCAAATTTAATCTGCTTGGCTAACTACACGTGGCAATAAAGCAGATCCCATAGAAAACCCAACATCTCATCTTTAAAAGCTAAATAAGTAAATATCCCCACCAAATGTTCAATGTCTCTATGTAAAGCTCTAAAATCTGTTTCCTATAAAATAAACTTGCCTCTAACTAGTTCAGTCCTTGTTAGTAATTTAAATATATTTGATGAGTCACATTCCAAAAATTTATTTCATAAAAAGAAAATAAAAAAACTGTATGCATTATGAAATCCTACGTGTTAAATTTAATTCAATAACCTTTTAATTCTGGAAAATCTTTTCCCTTCCAAAATAAAACAACAGCTGGAAAATATCTACATAAAACACATTTTAATTTGACAAGGAGTCTGTTTAAGACGTTAAGTAAAATAATTTAATGAAGGTGGTGGGTGATAAATATTTAACTGACATCACAAATATAGAACATTACGTTTTGCACCAGTTTTGAATCATGACAGTATCATGTTTACTTGATCTCCCTCTTTGGAGAAAATGATTCTTGTGCCTTCCGTCCATCCAGGCTTCACTTCTATAGTCAGAATCTTGTCCTTGATACTGGAAGTGTGTCCATCTTCATCCATGACCTGCAACACAGGTGAGACTACGTAATAAATAAGGAAAAATGTTTATTAGAGTTCAATGAAATATTTTATTCTCTTAAGTTTCAAGCTTTTGCTTGGTGTGCACTTTTAATTTCCCCTTGATATTCAGGATTAGTAGAACCCATTGAGTTAAATAAGACAATTTGATTGGTCACATGACATTGTGACTCACTGGAAGGACGGGCGCCACAACCACAGAGGGCAAGAGTCTGGACTTAGCATTGTTGTACAGTAAAAGTAAATATGCGTACTGTTATACACCCTTTATATATAAATTATGCTTTGTGTGTGTTATTGACTGACTTCGGATCTAGTTATTATATAAGATCTAGCCATTTTACACGATTGTTGAAGGAAATGACTATTATCAATTCTATTAATTTACTGTAAAGATTACAAATAAGCACGGTGGCGCAACTGGTACAGCTGCTGCCTCTCAGCGAGCAGGTCCTTGGTTCAAACCCCGGTCCAGGGGCCTTTCTGGGTGGAGTTTGCATGTTCTCTCCGTGCATGCGTGGGTTTTCTCCGGGTGCTCCGGTTTCCTCCCACAGACCAAAAACATGCATGCTAGTCTGATTGGTAACTCTAAATTGTCCCTAGGTGTGAGTAAGAAAGTGAATGGTTGTTTGTCTCGTTTGTCTCTATGTGGCCCTGTGATGGACTTGCGACCCGTCCAGGGTGTACCCCGCCCCTCGCAGAGTGATTGCTGGACATGGGCACCAGCGACCCCCGTGACCCAAAATGGAATAAACGGGTAAAGATAATGGATGGATGGATGGATGGATGGATTACAAATAATTTGTGACACAGATTCTGTTGCTGTTTATCAAATAACTGTAAAGATATAGAAGTCATTGAACTGGACAATTGTGTAATATTTTCTGGCCTCTGCACATCACAAAATCAGTAAAATTGGCTGTACAATAAAACTGGTAGAGGTGGGCACAGCTAACCAAAAGTTAGCTTTGCTAACCCATATTCTGCTAACTAAAGATATTAACTTTGCTAATGCTAAACAGCTAAAAAAAACAGCGGGAGATAACACTAAACTGCTAACCGCTAAGACGACTGTCCTTCAGCCAGCGTCACTCATCTTCGTCTCCTTCCAGTTGAAGCTGCGTCAACCAATCACGTCTTGTCATGTGTACATGTAGCAAGCTAATAGTGTACCTAACAGACTCTTCGAGATGCCCACAACAGACAGGAACAAGCTTGTGAATTTTGTTAGCGGACTTCAAGTTGGCAAAACCTAACAAGTTAATTTTGATAACAGTTTCCAAAGTTAGCAAAAACGCTAATACGCTAAACGAAAAATTTGTTCCGCTATTAGCTGTTAGCGGATTAGCAGAACTGTGCCCTCCAAACTGATCTACTTCAATTGGTGATTCCTTAACTCTCATATTACCAAAGTTTACAAAACACCATTTCACAAGATCAACATACCGGTAATCAAATTTCTGAAATTCTGTTCTGGCTTTTAGTTGTGGTGTGCCACCCCAGGATTTTCAGTGGCCCCCACTGTCAAGGTTTACTGATGTTTTTAACTGCTATGACTGATAATGTTAACTGCCCATGAACCATGTGTTTGAGTTAGCAGAGTTCTTTTCTCTCTCAGAGAGAGCTGAATGAGGAGCTGATTTGAGTGCAGCTGGATGTGCAGCTGGATGGCCAAGGACACCAGTCTGCCTATGAGCTAGCTGATAAGCTTATAAAAACAAACCATGCACACTGTCCGTGGCAGTTTGACTGCAGCATGTAAAACTTCTGTACATCAGTGTTACATCTGTGTAACCTGTTGTGAAAGTCTGCCCTTGCAAGTAAAGCCGGTTAAAAATCTTTTCCTGTCGAGTGTGACTTCTTTGAGTAAGTGATATGTATAGAGGATGGTTTTAACAAACACCCACATGGTCTCCCCCCCATTAATAAATGTATGGATGCACCACTGGTTAAATGGATGTACTGTATGAAAGATTTAACCACTGAAAAGCTTTGGGCAGAATGATCTTTTCTGATAAATAAAGTAGCTTCTACCCTGCGAGATATCTTGATCTTTTTCGTGCATCCGTGAAAGAGGTCCTCCAGGGACAAATTAAGATCTCTCTCTATCGGAGCGTCTTGTGTCTTCACCACCTCTGGCTGTAGTCTGCTGAGCTGAAGCTGTGATGCCTGTGTATAAAAGTCTACAAAACAACAAAAATAAAAGTATAATATATACATCTATGAAGTAAAGAACACTCAGTGCAATCTGTCTGTGGGTTTCTCACCTGCAAATGGGTTGTCACCCCCAAAGAACAGCCTGAATGTTTTGTCTGGATTCCCATGGTAGACGTATTTTGAAGACCAAGCTCCTCCACTTCCAAACTCGGCCGGGACACCACTTTTCAGACCCTCCTCACCAAATTTATCATAAGTTGCCTTTTTTCGAACTTTTAAGAAAATAGAGAAACTAAATGTAGGAACAACTTGCAAGGAGCAATAACATTTATAATGCAGTGCATTTGGAAGCAATTCCCCTTTACTAGAAAAAAAGATGCTTTACATTATTTTCCTGTTTCCTGAGACTTTTATTATAGAAGCTGTAAGTTGGTTTCTTTCAGCGCATCTGGGACGCAGTAGCAATTTTATCCTCTGTTTGGTGGTGCTCAAGCAGCACCCCTAAATTTTAACTAGGCACCTCTGAAAAATTAAGTAAAAATATCTATCTATATTAATTATATCTATATTAATTATATCTATATATATATATTGTTTTATTTATTTTATTTTTATGCATTTCTGGGTTTTGTTTTCTGTTTATTGCAATAATGATTCAATGCAACAACAACAAAAAAAAAGGTAACAGATCATTATAACTCTTGGTTTTATTGACAGAATGATTGCTGGATGAGAATTGCGTTGCTCTTCTAGAATTGCGCCGCTCAAGGTGGCTGCATGTTGGAGCAGCTCTGTTACTTTCATTTTGAGGTTTTGCTTTTGGAAACTTTAATTCCTCTTTTTCTGAATGTAAATCACATTTTTTGGATGAATGTTTCCTCTGGTATCAGACGCTGTGCAGCTGGAAGGATTTTTACTGAAACTTTTTTTAGTTTTGGACATTTGTTATGATGCGTAACCATGGCAACAAGGCAGTTTTCTACAAACAACAGCAGCTGATTAACATCTCAAAAGCTCAAATAATATCTCAACTACAGCCCCAAATCTCAAGTGAGTTGAAAAGGATGTTCTGTGGATGCATTCTCATCTACCTGCCCGCTGTGTTCGAGTGCCTGACCACTGAGATCCTGGAACTAGCAGGAAACACGACTCATGACAGTGGAATTCAATTCAATTCAATTCAAAAATACTTTATTAATCCCAGAGGGAAATTATTTGTTGTTGTAACTCGTGATCCTCATTTCATTAAGAGATGTTATAGATACTGATGGCTGTAGGCAGGAAGGATCTCTTGTAAAGGTCCATCTCACAGTGGATCCTAAGAAACTGGCTGCAGATGCCGTCCGATCCGTCCACCCAGACTCGGCTGGCCTCTTGGTTCCCCTGGACTGTAGGACCGCTTGAATTCTGGGCAGAACTCCTCCCAGAGCGATGGCCACTCCTCCCAGAAGTCTGCTGAGCTCCTCATAACTGCGGACAGCCAACTGTAGGTGCTGAGGGACGATCCTGTTCTTCCGCTGTCGTGAGCCATGTTTCCTGCTAGTTCCAGGATCTCAGTGGTCAGGCACTCGAGCACAGCTGGCAGGTAGATGAGAATGCGTCCATAGAACATCCTTTTCAACTCATTTGAGAGTTGGGGCCATAGTTGAGATATTATTTCAGCTTTTGAGATGTTATTCAGCTGCTGTTGTTGTAGAAAACTGCCTTGTTGCCATGGTTACGCATCATAACAAATGTCCAAAACTAAAAAAAGTTTCAGTAAAAATCCTTCCAGCTGCACAGCATTCGATACCAGAGGAAACAATCATCCAAAAAATGTGATTTACATCCAGAAAAACAGGAATTAAGGTTTCCAAAAGCAAAATCTCAGAATGAAAGTAACAGAGCTGCTCCAACATGCAGCCACCTTGAGCGGCGCAATTCTAGAACAATATAACAAGGACAGGATCGTCCCTCGGCACCTACAGTTGGATGTCCGCAGTGACGAGGAGCTCTGCAGACTGCTGGGATGAGTGACCATCGCTCTGGGAGGAGTTCTGCCCAGCATTGGGGCGGTTCTACAGCCCGAGGGGAACCGAGAGGCCAGCCGAGTCTGGGTGGACGGATCTTAGGATTCACTGTGGGATGGACCTTTACAAGAGATCCTTCCTGCCTACAGCCATCAGTATCTATAACATCTCAATGAAATGAGGATAATGAGTTACAACAACAAATAATTTCCCTCTGGGATTAATAAAGTATTTTTGAATTGAATTGAATTGAATTGGATGTCCGGTCCCTTTGCTGCTGGCTTTCAGTAACTGTGGCCCCCTGAGCTGTTTAGCTGAATAGCTAGAGTGGAATACAGTTTATTCCATTTCCAAAAACCAAAACTGAGTCTGGAAAAATGTAAAAAAAGATAAAGCCCTGCAGCCGACCTCATGAGCAGCTGAATACAACAGTGATAAACAGTACCGCATGTTCAACTGTGCGAGGGTAACTACAAGTAAATCCTCTATTTTTGTCAAAATTACATTGTATGCTTAATGGTTAAATTAAAGGTTAATGCTTAAAGATAGTTTTACTTTGTTTTGTGCGTTTTAAATGTAGATATATGTTGCAGCTTCTGGTTGCATATATCTTGTTATGATCAGTTAAAACTAAACTGATTTGTACAAAGCATTTATTAGGTTGTGTGATGTAAAGCAACACATCTGTATTGCACGTCGCTAATTAGCGCTACTTCTTGTTGTGCCATCAACTCTAAAATAGTTATTGAATCAAATGTTTACTTGTGTAGGTAAATGTAGATGTTTAACAACCTGTTAAAATACACAAGAATGCATGAAATGGCTTCTACTTCATTTGGGGGCTAAGAACCTCTAAAGGTAAGATTCTAGAATCGTCCCTGTTGAGAAGTATGAGCAATTTATTAAACTAAAAAACAGCCTTGAGAATAAATAAATAAATAAAATAACACGCAGGAAAAGTTGACTTACGGTCGCTGAGAACATCGTAGGCTTCACCCAGCGCAAAGAACCTCTCAGTGCTTCCTGCTTCTCTGTTTTTGCTCGGATGAAACTTCAGCGCAAGACGTCGGTAACTACGCAGACAGAATAAGTTTAGGATAAAAAAAGTCACGAAGCCGATATGAAACTTTTATTATTTAAGTTTTACTTTAACTTACGCTTTTTTGATATCCGCATCTGTTGCGTTTCTGTTTATTTCAAGCGTCTCGTAGTAACCCCAACTCATTTTTTTGGTTTAAACACTTAGCTGCACCCAAGAAAGCATACTGAAGATCGTTAAGTTAGCTAGTTTCACAGCTAAACCGCTAAAGAAAAAGTCGAGTTGGTTTCCATAGTGACGGCTATTGGGAAGCTCTCGCGAAATTTGAAAAAAGCAACGCAATCTTTTTTTTTTTTTAAATATCCGCATCTTTTGTATTTCTATTTATTTCAAGCGTATCGTATTAATCCAAACTCATTTTTGGTTTACATTTTTCCAAGCTACACTAAAAAAAAAAAAAAAGAAAAAAAGAGCGTAATGAACTCGTTACGCAGCTAACTGGCTAACTAAGCGTTAGGTTGGTTTCCATAGTGACGGCTGCTTAAGAAACTCTCGCGAGAGTTCCGTGCTCAAAATGGTTGCTAGGTGACACATCACAAAAAAAGTTAAGTCAGGTCATCTGGGCAGATTCTTCTTTGTTGAAACATTTCGTCTATCGTTAAGAGTTGAGGCCTTCTGTTGGGTTATAAAAAAAAGACTAAGCAGTTTCCAAAATAATTTTCAGGCGTAAAATGTGTAAACAACAACAAAAAAATCCAAGTCAACAAATATACCAACCAGATTGTTTTTAGCATTTTAGACAAGTTTGCTTTTTAATGTACATTTTTGGGAAAGAGAAATGTTAAAAAAAAAATAATGCCATACTCAATACAAGAGTTCCTCCCCCCATAAATGCCAGTTTACAGAAATCTTAGGTTACTGGTTTGTAACCAGTTTTAGCTCGTTTAAATGAAATTCTCATTTTCCCATAAATATGCTATTCAAAAATTTATTAAATGCTCGATTTTTTTACACATTGCATCCACTGAACTAATTAAGAAGTTTGCATTTCTTGGTTATAACCTTCCATTTTGTGCATCTCCTGCAGCTTTTCACGAGACACTAAATAACTCCAGCAGTGGTGAAAAGTGTATATTTATTCTTTCAGTAAAAGCAATCCCAAAAGAAATGTCAAGGATGACTCTGCTATACATATTGAACTCTCCCCATTTTCACACACACAAAATTGCACAGTATCATCAGTGTGATCAAACAGCAGACACTCTGATTATGTAAAAAGCTATCCAGACGAATGCATATCTTAGTAGATCTGAAACTCATTACCATCAGAGACAATATTAAAAGCCATAAAAAAAAGAAGCATGAATTCAACAGAAATAAATATTTCAAGTCATTGTGGATTAAATACACGTGCTGACTGATCACTAACAAAAGAAAAATCAACTCCAAAGTAAAAACGAGCTAAATAAAACAAAGTTTAGAAAGTGTTCGTATAGCTAAAGCCATGGAAGCCCTTTATCGTTTTACTCCAAATTCTCCATTTCTGTGGTGAATTTTAGGTGAAAACCCTCTTGAAGCGCTACCATCAAAGAATCAGGTGTAGTCCTTTAAGGGGAGAAGTCAATGCAATAAAAAACAGACCAGGAAATGGGACATCAATAAAAAAATTACCCATCTTAGAGGACATGTGCAGGACGGTCAATGTGCTCGACACTTTGTAGTGTAGCTATGCTGAATTACACAGTGTGGGTCAGTGTGTACTTGTGAATGATCTTTGCTAATGCGGATAATTTAACATTTAAAATAGGATCTTAGCTGCTGCCTGCGCATCATAGTTGGGACAGTTAGTCTGCCTCTAGCCTGGACACAAGCCATGTGTGGTTTAAAAAAAGTCACTTGTTAAAGATAAATGACACTGATGTGAGTCGTTACATTTTGAACATCCTCTTCATTTATAACAAAAACAACAACCAGAGCCGTGCAGAAGGGCGCGCTTCAGCTGTAAACACAGTTTCAGTAAACGTCTGGTACGGTGCTAAGATCCAATTAAAGTGATATGTTGCTTTTAGAGCATCCCAACGAGGAGACGGGGGGAGGGGTGTCCACAACAGCAAAAATACCAGGTGTAGTGTTGAGTCAGACTGGACAACAGAGGCGGGTGTAGTGAAGAGAATAAACAAAAGAACAACTGACAGGGTTCCAGAATTTAAAACAAAACTGGTGAGATTAGCAGGAACAGCCTCCTTCATTGGCGGGCTGCTCGACATGTTTCTCCAACTTGATGTCGATCACTGAGGAGGTTAGGAGTTAAAGAACATCACAGAACAAGAGAACACGTGCAGCATGTCAGAGCAGGTAAAACTATAGGTGACATTTAGAGCTGCAGAACCCAGGATGACCACTAGGTGGAACACTTGAGCAGCAGAATCCAGTTCTGAAACCAAACTCAGCCCTTCAGTTAAACAAAAAATACATTTTACTCTGATTTCATCCCTATTTTTTATTTATTTAATTTAATATGGAAAAATGTATAGCCATAAAAACACAACATTGAGTTTTAATAAACAGACTTTCATAGCAGCTGAATAAAATGCTTCACTAATGTAATTAAATATTAAAACATTACTTTTATTGAAGCTCGTTCTGATATCTACGGTAATCTTGCTCAGCGACAATAAGCATTTTAAAAACTGAGACAAGTTTCAAGTTTTGTATAAAAATTATAGAAAAACTGTCCTGAACGTGTTTAATTTGGAACATTTCCAGATTCTTTTGTTCGTTAGAAAAACTAAGTGTTGAGAATTTAATTGAAATGTTTTTCAAGCAGATTAAAAAAAGGTGAATTTTTTTGTTTGACATTCAAAAACAAGTTATCCGTTACTAAGCTTTGATTTGATTATTTTAAATGTTTTAAACAAATAAAAAAATTACCTTATTTTTCACATGAAAGGTACAATGTATTAGTTTAAACACCTGATATGTTTAATATGCTCTATTATGAATACATTTATGGATTGATGAGAATTGAATACATTCTGTTTTTATTTACATTTTACACAATACAATTTTTTTTTAAATTAGAATTGTGCTTAATACAAGATCAAAAATTAAAATGTAGGAAACTTTCGAACTCAAATTTGTAATTTATGTGAAAAGGTTTTACGGTTTTATTAATATAAAATCACAGTTTTTAAATAATTTGCTTGTGCATGTTTTATGCCTGTCATTCCCCTCTCTGTTACAGAAGCACGATCTGTAGTGTACTTCCAGGTCGCACGAATCACCGTTGTTTATGAATAAAAACCGTTTTAATTCACTTAGAAAAGTACGTGCTCTATCTCCACCGATCATGATGTAGCTAATTTACGCCACTCGTATTTCTGTTACAAATCACTGGTTAAGAAGATATGCGACGCATTAGACCTGACCCCATGCTTGGGCTGAAAGACAAAACCCTGCAAGATACAGAACGAGTTATTTCCATGGTGAAACAGCGCCCCTCAGTGGTGACGCTGCATATCATTTTAACCATGACGTAAATATGTCAATGATTTTAACGGAAATACAAGTGGCGTAAATTAGCAACATGAAGATCAGCGGAGATAGAGCACATACTTTTCTAAGTAAATTAAGACAGTTCTTATTCATAAACTGACTTATACTAGTACATTTTCCTTAATCTAGCATATTCAACAGTGATCCGTGCGACCCGGAAGCATTCCTTTTCGCGCATAAGCAAATGAGCAACACTAGGGATTGGGGAATGACGATGCCTTCAAAGATCTCTGGGGAAAGAAGCAATTTTATCCAATGGTGGAGCCACGGGGTGGACAATGGTGGCCTTGGCCCCCAAAGATTAATCTTGGGCCACCCCAATCATTAGAGGAAACTAAACTTTTAAGCAATATAAAAACTAGAAAGCAGAGTTCCCTCAAATGATCTGGGTGGCAGGTTCACAACTACACCTGGTGGTGATTTTGACTCAACACAATTTTTATTAGGGACCTTTTTATGTCTAGATGCAACCTCACACCAAAATGGAAGTCAGCACCTCACTTATTCTTCAATTTATGATGCTCACAGGACAATTGGATGAACATAGGGTATTTTTAAATCCCCTCTTTGCTCCGTGATGTGGAACATATAGATCTTTAGGTAAAGAGTCTTAGGACTTTACTAATTAAATTAAGGTGAGCTGGTCTGGGAAGCTCAGTCCTCACCTCCTTCTACAGGTGTGCAGTGGAGAGCATCCTGTGCTCCAGCATCAACGTGTGGCATGGAGGCTGCACAGCTGCAGAAAGAAAAGCTTTGCAGAGAGTGGTGAAGGCTGCACAGAAGACTGCTGGAGTCAGTCTCCCCACCATCACAGACAGCTACACCTCCAGATGCAGGAAGAGGACCACCTGCATCATGAAGGACCCCACACACCCAGCACACACATTTTTTGCCCCACTCCCCTCAGGAAAGAGATTGAGGAGCATTAAGTGTAGAACCACTAGACTGAGGAACAGCTTCTACCCTGAGGCTGTTGGACTCATGAATCTCTAACCAGAATAATCACTGTGATGACACTTTAATTGGCGATATGTGACTTATCTGTGCTGCTGATCTCTTGCCTTTACGCTGCTGTATTCATACCAATCTGCTCACAACAGCTTCATGTTCAGGCTGCACATTATTGTACTGTACATTATTAGTGTATATCTTAGATCCTTGTATGCGGTTTCTTTTTTTATACTTTATATGTGTGTTATTTTGGGGTTAACTGGGACCTTGAGTACACAATTTCATTCCACCTCAGGGCCCACATGTGATGTGAATGACAATAAAGAACCGTGAATGACAATAAAGAACCTTGAAATAAAAGTATAGTTGAATCTTAAAATCTATATTTGGTAAAATAACTCTAAAGCAACAGACTTAAATGACAAAAGTGAGAAGTCAGAATGCTCCACTTGATTTTTCCAATAAAGAGTTCATCTGGAGGATTTAATTTGACATAAAAAAAACAACAACACTTCCCAACTTTGTTTTTCTATTGTCAGACACATAAAAGGGATACTGTCCTCTCTGCTCTTGTCCTGCGTGGTATCCATGCCAGGGAGGGCGGCTGCCACACGGCGGAACAGCTGCAGGACAGAAAAGCAGATGTTTTAACCAGAAATATTATCAAGGAGAGACAAAAAAACACAACATTTAAACAAGCTTGGCTGCTGCATTGATCAGTTTATAAATTTAGCAAAGAGCCACCTGGAGCTTGCACAGAGGAAGCTGTCAAATCAAAGCTTTTTGTCGAAGTCTGATCTCTGAATAAAACTGCTTGTTTTGGAGCCAACGTTAAGGACACGCTTCAGGTCGGTACAAGAGGCTCAGAAAAACAGATGAACCCGTGGCAACTAGTGTGACTAAAAACCAGGAAGGATGTAAATGACTGATTGACCCTCGTGAGATGAAAGAAAGGTGATCCAGAACATGCAGAACCCGAAACACCTTCATCAACATGCAGATTCCACAGCAACAAAGCCGTTGTTGCTGTGGAACCAGTGCAGCTCCGGCCGGTGGTCAAACTCCGACCCAACGAGGAGAATTTCAGATTAAAGATTAAAATCCCAGCTGGGTCAGAGCTTGAAAAAACTATTTTGTGCACCTCACTGGAAGCCGACGTCCAGCACACGCGTGAGTTTGTGAGAAAGAAAGCTGATCGGATCAGATCAGGGCACAAGCTCTGCACATGCGCATGAGCGTGCACACGCTCTACCTGTTTGACATTGTAGCCTGTCTTTGCACTGGTTTCAATAAACAGAACGTTCGTCTCTTTTGCCCTCTGCTCTCCTTCTTCTGTGGTTATCTGTCTGTAACGAGTCGCCGCAAACACCCACCGGGACGCACACGAAGCACCGACATCAAGCAGACAGAAACAACAAACACAACAAACAAACAAACAAACAAACGGGCTGTGATTAAACTGAAGGAGACGGACAAGCCGTGCCCCTCCCTGCTGCAGCTGCCACCTTTGCTTCAGACCAAAAGCCTCCAAATGGCTATTATTGCTCCAGGAAGTTAACTGGAGAGACCTGACACCTGTAAATAAACATTCTGAAAAGCTTTTCATTCTTGCTGAACGTTAGCTGAACACAAACACACACTGCTGATGGTTTTACTCTGCTGAGCAAAGCAGTCGACGGCTTGGCGTCTTAATAACCGTGTGCACTGAGAGCCTGTTCATGAAAATCAAACCCTGATTGAAAAGCTGGTGTTGAAAAGGCAACTGTTCGAATTAAAAGACTGCTGATCAGCTGTGGGCTGAAGAAGAAAAAGAGCTAAAACAAGAGCTTTAAGGAGGTGGAATTAACTACTTACAGCATTTATGTCATTTATAACAGAGAGGCTGCAAAAATGCACCAAACAGCATCAAGCTTTGTTTTGTGCAGAGTGAAATATTTCAATGAATCAGAGCCTTATCACCACTTTGGACTGGAACGTGTAACAGAAGAATCAAAGGTCAGACGCGGAACACTTCCTAAAGTCCATCTGTGATGATTGAATGAAGGAATGAATGAAAGGAAGACAGACAGACAGACAGACAGAAAGACAAAGGCAGAAAGACAACAACAGAGACAGACATATGTAAATAAAGACAGAGCCAGAAAGACAGAAAGAAAGATAGACAAAAAGACATAAAAAAGAAAGACATGAAAAATGAAAGACAGATAGAAAGAAAGATAGAGATAGAAAGACAAAGAAAGACAGATAGACATAAAGAAAGACAGACAGTCATAAAAAAGGACAAAGAATGACAGACAGACGTAAAGAAAGGCAGAAAGAAAGACATTAAGACAAAGACAGACATAAAGTCAAAGAAAGAGACAGACAGACAAAGACAATGAAAGACAGACATACGTAAAGAAAGAGACAGAAAGACAGACAAAAAGACATAAAAAGACATGAAAAATGAAAGACACAAAGACAGAAATAAAGACACAGACAGACAGACATAAAGAAAGACAGACAGTCGTAAAGAGACAGAAAGACAAAGAAAGACAGAGACAAAGAAAGACAGACAGATTTAAAAATAAGACAGAAAGAAAGACAGAAAGACAAAGGCAGACAGAAAGACAGAGACATAAAAAGAGAAAGAAAAGAGACAGAAGGATAAAGGCAGACACAAAGACAGACAAACAGACATAATGAAAGACAGGCAGAAAGACAGAAAGATGTAAAGAAAGGCAGACATAAAGAAAGACAGACATACATAAAGAAAGACAGGCAGATGTAAAGAAAGACATGCAGAAGACAGAAAGAAAGACAGTTGTAAAGAAAGACAGGCAGAAAGACGGGCAAAGACAATCAAAAAGAAAAAGACAAAAAGATATAGAAAATGAAAGACAAATATAAAGAAAGACAGACAGAAAGACAAAGAAATACAGATAAAAAGACAAACAAAGAAAGACAAAGACAGACAGACAGAAAGAAAATGGTAGGGAGTTGAACCTGTGACTTTCTGGCCCCAAGCCAGCTGCCCCACCACTGCACCACAGCTGCCCAACAATTGAGGATTCCTGCTGCGTTTGTGCCGCTCACATGTAAACTGAGACTTTGTTTAAAAAACAAAAAAAGGTATTTTTTAAAGTGGACCCAAAATATGGAGATTTCATCTGGTCCTGTCCTCCTGAAACTTTGATGATCATGTTCTGAAATTGTTTTTAAAAGAAAATTAAACACGGTTTCTGTACTTTATGATGTTGTTTATGTGTCACAGCATGGGTAAGTTCAAGTTTTTTGTTAGAATGTTAGTTGTGGTCTGGTTCCTTTAAAAACACAGCAGGAAAAATAACGATCTGCTTAAAATGTATTTAAAACCGTTTAATTTAGAAACACAAACCTAATAAAAATATAAAAAGGTGTTTCAGAATGTTTCAGTGTTCATCCAAACACCATCATCAGATGTGATGAGAGTGAATGATGATTTGATGAACACCAAAATGTTTTGTAACCCCTTCTTGCTTTATTGTCCTGTGTTTATAACGTATGTATTTTAAATAAATCTTGTCACCCGGATGATTAAATGAAGCTTCTGTTAAAAAGCAGCAGCGTAGACGAGGCCTACGAATCCAAACGCACGTCAAAATGTTCATTTGTAACCTCCAGCAAGAAAGAAAGTCAAAACTTTAGGATTTCCTACTAATGAAACCACCAGAATGTTTTGCACAATCCACAAATGTTGTTTTTTGTACTGGTAATGCGAGTGAATCTCTGGCCTCCCAGCTTGTTGTAGTAGGAACCGTTTGGTGCTGAAGCTCGGGCAGCAGAACCTGCAGCGGGGCGGAAGAGCTCGGCGCTCACACATCCTTACCTGCTTCACGTTGTAGCCCGCTTTCGCACTAGTCTCAATAAACATTACATTTAGTTCTTTGGCTTTCCGCTCACCCTCCTCAATAGATACTTGCCTGTGATAGATAAGGAAGTTAAAAGATATACAGTGGGGGAGGGGGGGGTCAGAATCTATCACACATTGGATCAATATATAGATGAATATATTCCATCATCAGTGAAGGAGACCTGCAGTGAGAATCAGACACTTTGAGGAAGAATAGACTACCTTTTGTCTGCAAGATCTGTCTTGTTTCCCACCAACATGATGATGACATCACTTCCTCTCTCTGTTCGGACATCATCGATCCACTTTGTGGTTTGCTGGAAAGAGTTGACATCTGAAAGGAGGACAACAGGAAACAGGAAGCAGAGATTTAGAAAGAACTCACAATTCACATGACCCCTAACCCAACATTTGCAAAATAAAACAAAACATTTAAGTACAAATGAACAAGCAGTACGCCAATGTCCCCCCGTTGCTGAGGGATTTGAATAGTGAATGTTTGTAAATCTCAAAATGAGTGTTTTTCTGGACTGGAATTGAACAGAAACTGCAAGTAAACCTAAATGTTTTTGGTGCCAGATACTCAAGTGGGTAGGAATTACACTGTGTAGAAGAACAGAGGTAGTTTTATTTATTTATATATTGTTTTGCTTGTTCGAGACAGCACAGGGTGACAAATCCTGGCAAGCAGAGGAACAAATTCAATCCACTACCAGGTGCAATGGTGGAACCAGGGATTAATCTTTGGCCACCACTATCATTTAAGAAAATTACACCTAGATGTAGCCACACGCTAATATAGAAATCAGTACCTCACTTATTTTTCAAGTTATCATGCTCACAATATTCATGGACGGACAGAATTTCCAATATTTTTCCAGGCGCGTGCGAGTTAACGAAAAGGCAAACTGCTAACGGTGTCACCTACTTGTGATGTCGTAGACTACGACAGCAGCGGCCGAGTCTCTGATGTAACTTGGGATTAAGCTGCGAAATCGCTCTTGCCCCGCCGTGTCCCACAGCTGCAACCTGATCTGTCAGACAGGAAGAGGATGGGACGGAAAACAACAGAAAGGGAAGAAAGCAAAATAAAAAACAAACAAAAAAAGAGAGGATCAAAATAAATGAAGAAAACAGACAAATGAGCTGAGTTTGCATGGCAGAGAAGAAACCAAATGAAGTAAAATGATGAAGAAAAAACAAAAAGAGCAGCAGAGAGTTGAGCATGCAGGTGACCATCAGAGAAAGCAAGTTGTCTGGGCCTGAAGGGGAAATAAACAAATAATCACCCTTCACTTGTCATCCACCCTCTTCCTTCGATCAAGTAAGGTGTTTAGTTATAAAAATGTGATGGCAGATAGATGGAGGGGTGAGGGAGAGGGAGAAAACTTAAGCTGAGGAAGAAAGCACACAGTGAAAAGGACGACTTCCAGAGGACACACAACCCTGATCATATCTGAAAATAGATAATCCAACTCCTAAAGACGTAAAACTAACTGTCAGAAATCAGCCTGCGAGAAGCTTCAACAGCATCAGAAGATAAAAATAAACTTACTGTTCTGTCTTCAAGGTACATGGTTTTCGATAAGAAGTCTATTCCTATCGTGGCCTGAAAAGAAGAAGAATATTGTTTTCAATGAGGGTTCATAAACGCTCTGATGAAGTGATGGAGCTGAAGTGCAGACTCACCTGGTACGTGTTGTCAAAGCTGTCGTACATGAACCTGGTGATCAACGACGTCTTTCCCACTGAAACAGGAGAAAAAAAAACTGTTTAGTTTGGAAAATAGGTTATAATTTAAAATTATCTAAATAACGTGGCTTTCCTGACAACAGCTCCCATCAGAATAAGTTAAAGTGTTAACAACTGACTGTGTTACAACAAATTATTCAATCAACAATTTACCTAAAAATAAAAATCCTCAATTGATTTTTTTTAATCCTAAACTACAATTTGATGAACTAAAGTTAAAAGGGCGGCTGTGGCTGAGTGGTTAGAGCAGTCGTCCTCCAATGCAAGAGTTGGGGGTTCGAATCCACCAGCAGTCACATGCCGGAGTGTCCCTGGGCAAGACACTGAACCCCTCACTGCGTCCGATGCGTGTCCCATCAGTTTATGAATGTGATAAAGCTCTGAGTAGTCTCTTTAGAATGATTTGTTCCATTAGCTTGGTAGAGATCTAGTCGAGTGCTGGATGGATAAATGAGGCACAGACTGTGTTGTAAAGAGCTTTGAGTGTCTTGATTAGATAGAAATGTGCTATATAAGTGCAGTCCATTAAAGTCTAAAACCTAAAATACACGTCTTAAAAACTGGACAAATTATTTATTTTTATCCCAATAAAAATGTATTTTCACAATATCTATTTGTATTGTTAAGTTGTGGTCGTAGGGCAGCATTTGAAACTCTAAATCTTTAATGCCTGGTAATTGTTTTGTTTTTTTTGTTTTATTTTACATACAACACCTAATCTTTACCGTCCAAAATGTCCATATTTGGCAACTAGAAAAGACTTATGAGATTAATTTAGGGAGATTATCTCGCCTAAAGCATCGATGCTGAGAGGACTCACGCGCTCACTTTGACCTTGGGGTCGGTGTTTCCCAGGCAGCGGCCGTTTTTGTTGAGCTCAGGTTTCAGGATCGGTTTCAGCGTGCATCAAGTGACGCAGCTGAAGCCAACACAGCCGCAGGACAAACAGCTGATGACAACAAGCGCCAGATCGGTCTGCCTTATTGTGATGAGTGTCATGAAGGGTTGTGACGTGGAGGTTCAAGAAGCACACTGACTGACAGACGCAAAAAGTTTGTTTCTTTTAAGGATTTTTTTTAAATTTTGATCCTGCAGAAAGAACGACCTGAACAAATACACTAAATCACTTAGGTGGTGCAGACGAGACTATAAATTGATTTAATGCCGTCATTTTACAATCCATTCTTTTCATTGTGTCTCTGTTTGGGTTGGTATAATTATAAAACTTTAGAAGATGTTTAACGATCATAGAATACAGTTACAGTTCATATTTATGTGACTAATATATCAGTTAAATAAAAATACATTTCTTCACCTACAACTCCTAAAGAACAGCAACTTCATAAGATTTTTTTCTGCATTTCAGGCTTTCTAAAACACAAACAATATTAGGTTAATCTATTTGCCTTGATTATTCGATACACAAAATATTTGCTGACAGTTGACAAAATGCTTTTAAGCTTTTGTTTATCCGAGTTGGTTCTCTTACTTTAAAAGTCTAAAAAAAGTGTCAGATCAATATCTCAGTCTAATCGTATCCGACCCAGTAGTAGACCCACAACACAAAAATGACAAGGGCTTGTGTTTCCATCTAATGCAGGTTTAAACCCTATATTTATTTAGGCCTTCTGTAACAATTGTGGTGAAAGTATGACCAAAAACATAACTTCAGGTCTGGAGATAAAATAACCTTGTGGACCATGACCATTTAAGTATCTAATCTAATATGAAATGTTCTTACTTTACAGAAAATATTGCAGAAAAATAATTTTAAATTAATTTTTAAAATGCCATCACATAGTTTGAACTCCTTTGGTGACAAAAAGCATGAATTAAGAATTTCAATCTGTGAAACATCTTTGCTGTAAATCTCTAACATACAGAATATGATGAAGCCTTTTGGGTAATATTAATGTTATTAGTGCTACATTTAAGGGCCTTCCAGATTCTAAATGCTCTGAACATATAGTGCCATACATACAGTACATGATATTATCAACAACTCCCACAGGGACAGTAAAAGTTCAGTTCAGCTAAAAAAACATCTACATCAAACCCCAAATTAAGCTCACACAGACAGTACAAACAGACAACTATGTGAAGCCTGGAAAGATGATCTTTAAAGGACGAATCAATCTGAGCTCCCCTCTCCTTCCAGCATTAATGAAGCCTGTGTTCACTGTGGGAGGAAGAGGAGGGGGGATGAAAAGGGGGAGAGTGGAGGAATGTGACGAGACAGGTTTGTGTAATTAGGAAGCTCTCCCCAGGGTAGAAAATCACAGCTATGATAACGTATCGACTTCTAGATAAGAAGGAATGACAAAATATGACATGGAGAGTGGCTGACACGGAGCTTAAACGTTAGTCAACAGATAACGTGTTTCCTGGGACACGAGTCATGATGATCTAGGTGAGGGTGAACTAAAGCCATAAAGCCAGCGTGGACAAGACGCCATGGAGTGTTGCAATGATACAAACTGTGCCACATCTACCGATCAGCGGCTAATGCTAACTGGCTAACACAGACAGGCTGCCGGCGTCACCACACCGACCCATTAAACTCCCGAGAACTTCACAAACAGCACTTTTTTTTTTTTAATCCACTGACAAACTCACCGCTCTGTTCCCCGAGAAAGACCAGTTTAAATTTTCTTAAAGGGTTTCCGAAGTCTCCGGCCGCAGACATGATGGCTGGATCACAAACTGACGATCCTCTTCTCTTCAGAAGCTCCCCGGCTAACCCGCTAAACAATCAGCTAAGCGGCTCTTCGCAGTTTTTATAAGTCCGGAATCCGTTCGTCAACTTCGAAGGCCCACCAGGAGGTTATTGCTGCTATAAAGACACTCCTTTCAGCGTTAACGCTCTGTGGGATAACTCTGTGACTAACACTACAAAGTTAGCATTACTCCAGCCTGTCTGACTAACAGCAGAGGACGCCTTCTTCTTTTTCTTCTTCTTCTTCTCCTTCTTCTTCTTCTTCTTCTTCTGAGAAAAAGAGAACGTTGTTTGTGCCTGCACTGTTATGCTGCACCCTAGCGGTCATACAAAATAAACACACCCATAAACAACCGAGGTCAACAAGCGAAATGACACGTTTTAATTTTAAAAGACACGAATATAATATTACATAGTTAAATTTCACCACCTGGGCAAGCAATAGATAAATAGCAGGTCAAAGGCTGAACACAAAATCGAAGTTTTCGAGGGGGCATGTTGTACCAAAATCTGACCACCAGGGGGAGCGCTCACACCACAACTTGGATTTCGCACATTAAGGAATATTAAATTAATCTGTGACGTCATGATATTGGATTACAAGCTTTAGTAAGTATTCACCTTGACATATTTTTTCTCTTCTTTATAGTATATACATATTTTATTTTTAATTGAAATTGATACTAAATTGCTGCCTAATCTCTGGGACACCTGCAATTGCAACGCTTTGATTGAGAAATATTTAGTGAGGCCAAATACAAAAGTGCAACACTTGTTTCTAGAGTAACTTATAGAAATTTTACAACAAATGTTTATCAAAATAAAATAAAGCTTTGGTGTGCACTTCTTCAATGTCACCTCTTTCTGCCCAGGGCAGACTTGAGATGCTGTAGCGATGAACTTGTGTGGTTTTACAGTCACTACAGTGATGGCAGCGCTTGTTGGCAGCCTTTCAACGCAAAGCCAACTGGCATTAATTATTTGTGCGAACAAAAATAAATCACAGTTTTGGGTAGCAGTGTGTAGGTGTGAGAGCGGAACTTGTTAAGACCTGCTCTGTCTGACACCTTTTCATCCGGCGGTGGTGTTTACACTCTGGAGCTTTTTTGGGGGATCTCTCCTGACCTCTGGCTTGTGAGACAGCAGCTGTCCTGGAGGATGAAGAGTCATGACAAAAATAATCAAGGTGACTTAAAGACAGATGGCAGAATGAAAATGCTGGTTTAAACATTTTATAGGTTAAAGGTCATTTTGGACATTTTATGGTTCTGCGTTCCCATATCCTGCATGTTTTAGATGTTTCTCTGCTCCACCACATCTGATTTAAATTACTGATTAACAGGCTTCTGCAGAACTTAAAGACCTGCTGAAGAGCAGGGAAACAACTAAAACATGCAGTATAGTGGCCTTCGAGGACCAGGATTAAGAGGCACTGTTCTAAATAATTAATATCTTACCTGTTGTAGATAACTTTTTCTAACTTCAGTTTGGACAAATGAGATTTAACTCTAGCCTGACCGATGAGATAACAGCTGGTCTAAAAGGAAACAACTCCAAAGTGATGTAATTATTGCTGTTGTTATTTAATAAACATTAAATTACAAACAATTTACATTTCATGGTTCTCTAAAAAAAAAATCAGTGATATACAAACACAAACAACTGAATACCTGGCAGCACTTCTGTCTGAATAATTATATTAAAAATTGGACATTTACTGAGCCCAGAGGGGGGAAAATCCATTATAATAATGACAATAAATCAACTCAATCAATGTAAAATATTCAATTAAACGTTTATTATGAAACCAAATCACTCTTGGATTATGTGTTGTGAATTACTCCCAGCTACTACCACACAAAATTTAGCAAAATATCTGCAAAGTTAACCGAATCACAGTCATTTTTGTATTTAGTAACTTCAATAAGCTGTGTCGGCCATCTTGAATTATGTTAGCTCTAAAAGTTAATCAGTTGTTGTTGTTGCACACCCAGGGAATATTTCCTGACTATTTCCAATAAAACACCTGCAGTGGTTCATGAAATATTTTGCTAACAGACAGAGACTCCAAATAAGTAATGGAAATATTGTAAACGCAGATCTTCATAATCTGTCAGCGCTCAGCGAACATGTTGGGGATCAGTTTTGGCTACTATCACCCCAATATTTGACCAAATAGCTATAGAATTGACTGAGCCGTCGCTGTTTATGTGTGATTAAAGGTCAGTTGGCTGTGGCAGCCATCTTGAATCAGGTTGTCATGCCAAAAATCACCTCATTGTCCCTCTTCCCCTTCCTGTCATGGGCAATAATTAAGCATCTAGAGTTGTGTTACATCGAGGAAACATGGCAGTCAGTGATGGTTGTGTTTTTCTGCCAGCTTTAGCTGTTTTAGGTCACACCTGCGCCCCCTCCTCATTCATCTGCCATCCAGTTATTCCTGCTCTGTTTGAGAACCGGGCCCTGCCAAACTACACCGCCCCATCCCTGTTTCAGCACTCCTGCACCATATGTCCTTGGTATAAGGAAGAGACCCCCCACCCCTCCCCTATTCCCCCTGCTGAAGTTGCTGAACTGACAAAATCTCCTTTGCTCTACATCACCCCCCCCCCCCCATCTTTAACTCTTTCCTGCACACGTTTGTCTTGCACTGACCTTTTATATTTTTTCAAAAAAGAGATTTTCCTCCCAAAAAATGGCACCAGCACCAACAATTTAAGGACATTAAAATATTTGTAAGTGGAACGGGGACTGTGCATCTGCGTCGAGTCTTTTCACTGCAACTTCTCTGGAACTTGGCCCGCTCTTCCAGATGATCAAGTAAATAAATCGTGAAATTGTTCAATTTGTTGCTTTCTTGGGGTTTTTAGACAAAGATTTGCAGTTGTTGTTTTATGTTGATTTGATCTGCCTGCATCTGTGGGTGGGAGAACATCGCCCCACCCCACCCCAACACCACCTTCACATAAATCCTATGAATGCAGCTTTCAATGTCACAGCAAAGTACAATACGACACTCGTTTCTCTTGAGAGAGGAAGGGAGGGAGAGGAAGGGCTTTCGTGGAGGGTGGGAAAACCAGAGGAGACGATGAGGTGGTGCGGGGGGTGGGGATACAGATAGGGCATGCAGGTTGGGTCAGGATATACAGTATATATATATATATATATATATATATATATAATGTGTTTTCATTCTGTTACAGTAAAAAAGGTGAAGTGGAGCTGGAGGTTAAAAGAGGGAGCAGCATCTGAAGTGTGGATGAAACAGAACTGGATCAAAGGACGGTTATGGAGACCAGGCAGGAGGCATGGTTAGATCTCACATCCATCTTTTTTTTTTTTTTTTGTCTCTGCAACATCAGGCGCAGCAGAACAGAGCGTGAGGCTGGTTCTTGCAAGCATAAGTGAAGCTGCAGATCAGGGTAGCAATCCAAGCACATTTACCAGAGGAGGCGAGAAGAAGCAAGGGAGGGAGGGAGAGGGTGAAGGAGAGGGAGCAGAACTATGAAAGGACAAGGAGGAGGAGGAAGGATGTGTGTGTGTGAAGGGGGGGTGTTACATGCTCACAGAGTGTGACAGAGATAGAGCGATGAGCGAGGAACTGAGAAGAGAGCACAGAGCTCCAACGAGCGAGCACTGAGATCTGAACACGACCAGGAGCAAGAAGAGGAAGAGGAAGTGGAGCAAGATGGGAGGGAGGAAGAGGGATGCCAGATGATGGAGCCCAGAAATAGGTTGTACAGGACGGTCCTTCATCCCTGCTCCCTGCAGCCGACATGACTCTCTGGGCATCGGAGGGTGCTGAAATCAGCCAGTAGGACGACGGAGGACAGCAGGTCTGCGGCGAAACGCTTTTGGTTCTGCCTCGCCGAATGCAGCAAGCTGATTTATTACTGAGGTGCTGGGTGGCAGCGTGTGTGTGTGTGTGTGTGTGTGCAGGTTTTTATGGGTCTGTGGAACGACCCATTCCTCCAGTCATGAAGTGACATTCAGCAGGCTGGAGCTTTGTGCTCTGGTATGGGTCTGCAGTCCCTTGTAGGAAGTGGGAGAGATTCAGGGCTGTCACTGTGTGAAAGAGTGTGTGTGTGTGTGTTTACAGTTCTGTCTGTTGAGGTGAACCGAGCAGGATCAGCTGTATGAAGCTGTATGTGTGTGTTTAGGGCAGGAAAGGCAAAAGAGCCACGATGCAAGGACGAGAAGGGAGCAGCACCGGTGGCAGAGAGTGCATCTGAAGTACAAGCAGTCCCTTGGGGGTAGAGGGGTGTATATGTGTGTGTGTGTGAGGGGGTGGGGGGTTCGGACAGGGGAGGAAGAGGAGAATTAGGTAGAGGACAGAGATAGGAAAGTGGAAGAGAGAAGAGGTGATCATGGCTGTCACACAGTGAGCTATAGCATATGCTGTAGTGCAGAGCAGAGTGGTACTGCAGGGGGGAGGCAAGAGAGCATCACTGCACTGGAGAGGGAGAAAAGTGTGTGTGTGTGAGGGAAGGGGGGGTTGGGGGGAGGCATTGAGTTCAGCACCTCTCCTTCAGCAGAGTGGGACAGGCCCGGCAGAAGACACTCGGAGGCTTGGGCTGAATTTAGAGGTCAGAAAGGGAGCTGGTCTGGGACACGGGTGTTGGTCTACACCCCACATTCTCTTTCTTCAGGCTGGTCCTGTGAGGAGAAGACAGAAGAAGGGGCCAGCTCCCCCTGTAGTCCCGTTTCTTCGGACCACTCTGCCATCCTTCCGTCGCCATGGGGGAATGGACCATCCTGGAGAGGCTGCTGGAGGCGGCCGTCCAGCAGCACTCCACCATGATCGGGAGGTAAGGCTGGATGTTCTCGTGTTGTGTTCAGGTGATCTATCCTCATCTGAAGTTTTCCGTACCTCTTTTGTAAGCAGAACCCCCCTCAAGGTACTCTCCTATCCTTTTCTCCTCACACTTATCCTCCACACCGGTCACTAGTTAAAGGATAAACTAATTACATATAATCGATACGAGGCTTTGCTTAGCATTACAGTTAATGCAGAGAGGTTCCTGTGATGATTCCACCTAATAGCCCAGAGACTGATAGATGGTGCTTGGCCACGGACCAGCAGGGCAGAAGAAAGTAGGAGTGAAAAGATGAAGGGAAGGTGTGCAAGCAGGTGTCAAAAATAGAATAAAAGGTGATGATGGTGGTGGTGGGGGGGGGGTGACCTCGAGTTGGGAGTTTCTTTTTAGAAAAGTCACACGGTGAACATGCCGTCAGGCCAAGTGTCCGAACAGGAAAGGTCTTCGATGGACCATCAGATGAGACACGCTGTTAAATCTGTGTGAAATGTGCTTTCACATCATCTCTGTGTGAGTAATGAGATGCAATAAGGGGGGGAGCTCGGATTTTCCAGCCGTTGAACACGATCCAAATGTCCCATTCGGTTGTGGTTTGGATAAAAAAAAAAAGAAGAAGTGAGGAATAAAAAAGCATGGGCTGGTGAAACCTGGATGTTTGCTGCAGTTTGAAGAGTTTATAAAGAAATAAAAAGAAACCACTGGAGTGGAGCTAACTCTGAACCTTCTTGAAGCTTATTGAAGGTGTTTTTAATCCTTATTGGTTAAAGGAAAGCAAGCGATGCGCCGGTGTCCCCTGTCTCTTAGGGGTTTGAAAACTAACGTTTGTAGTTTTTGAGATGAGTGTTTTTCTTCACTGGAATTGAGCAGGGAATGCAAGTAAACCTTAATGTTTTTGATGGAAGATATTCAAGCGGGTAGGAGTTAAACTACGGGGGAGAACAGTGATAGTTTTTTCTTGTTTGCTTGTTCGAGACAGTGCAGATTAACAGACCCTGGAGACAAAGAGCAATTTTATCCTTAACTAGGTGCAGTGGTGGAGCCAGGGGGTGGCCAAAGGTGGCCTTGACCACCATAAATTAATCTTCAGCCACCCCAATAATTGAAGAAACAATTTTTAACCAATATAAAATGTAGAAAGCATAGTTTCAAAGTGGTTGTCGATTTACATATAAATATGGTGGTGGCCATCTTGGATTTTGACATGGCAGCCCTATTTTCAGTAGTAACCTTTGTCACACCTAGATGGAGCCGCATACTAAAATGGAAGTCTGCATGTTGCTTCCACCCCCCATCCCACCCCACCCCAAGTTATCCGGCTCACAAGATAGATAGACAGACACATATGGCGGTAGCCATCTTGGGATAGTAATTTGGTGTGGAAACCCAATTTTTGATAGGGACCTTTCTTACACTTAGATACAGCCACACACAAAAAAATGAAGTTGACACCTCATTTATTTTTAAAATTGTCATTCGCACAACATGGACGGCTGGACAGAGGATACAATCTTTTCAATTCCCCCCTCTGCTCCACAATGGGGGGAAAAGAAAAGTGCCATCAAGTGCAGAACGTGCACAGAGCCATAAGACACAGAGATGATGTGAGAGCTTCCAAAAAGTTAACTGGTTACTGTTTATGAAGACAAGTTTCCTTTCAAACGAACACTAAAGCAAGTAATTTATTTATCTGTTGATGAAAGTGCATTAACCAATGAAATCATCTGGTCTGGACCTCGGATGGAACCAAACTCTGCATGTTCTCTTGATTTAAAGGTGAATTAAGCAAAGTGTTTTATGACTTTACTGAAAAACAACATATTTGAGTCACTAAACAGTCAGCACACTTTTTTTTACCTCTCAGAGTGATAAAACGAAGAAGAAAAAAGACATTGGCTTGTTATTGGCCCTTCTGAGGATAAGAACAGCTAGCTGCACGCTAACTGAGCAGTGTGAAATTGCAAGAAGCTGGAAGAGCCGGTGAAGGAAGCAGGACATGTAGCCAAACCAAACCAGATACCACACGTATCGTTCTCTCGGAAAAGCAAACGAGAACTAAAAACGACAGTGAATATTGGAATTACGTTCAACAGGTGGCCAGACAAAGGAGACCGAAGGGATGTCCGTGTTGCTCTGTTTCTACTGGATATGTGAGTAGGCACCTGTTTAATATGTCAGTCATAACAACCTGATAAGCCAGATGCTAACTGTTGTGAACTTGTTTCGAAGTCTTTCCGCCCCCTAGTGGTCAAATATATAATTTTTTACTTAATGCAGATTTATAATCCAGTCCTGGCAGCTCAATCATAAAAAACCCTGTGAGGGGTGGTTGGGATGAAACATAATTTTTAAAAAATTGTTGAAATTAATCTCTAGATGATTCAAGCCACCTACAGTCTTTCAGAGGCACAGAAGCAACTCTCAATTTGTCTGCTACCTCTTTCAAAACCATAACAAATGCTCTAAGGATCTAGTGGTTTCTCCTTCAAAGGTTTAATTTGTTGAGTCATTGTGAAAACACTAAATATGTTGAATAAATTACCGTTTATGCTTTTCATTGTCTGACAGTCTGGTAAGACAAACCTACTTTGTTGAACATTTTAGTGACATAAATTTAGATGGTTAAATCGATCTACAGCTATGTGACAGAGGGCTGAATACAGTGAGGCGCTCTGTAAACGATCCCTTTGTGTTTGGCTTCCCTCAGACTGTGTTTGTCCTACAAAGAGCTTAATTTGACCCTAGGGCTTTAGTTGTAATATTATCTGCTGTCCAGTGGGGGTTTCCTCTTTCTACTCTGTTGGTCTAGGGAATTTGAGCCAAACATGAATGCCTTTGGAGTCACTTTGTTCAGTATTTCTGAGTATTCTTGGGTTTTAGACTCCTGACTATGGGTTTTGTCTCTTCAATTTAGCTTGTTTGCAGGATACTATAAAATAAATCAGAGCTCTTCAGTTGTAGAATTTAGGCTAGCCTTTAGCAGTATACAAGTAGGTGATGATCTGGACCATTTTACTTACTTACATTTTTAGCAATTATATAAAATCCTAAGCATGTGTCTGCATGGTCAGGAAATCAACAACCTTTAATATTTTAAATCATCACAATGATGTCTTTGGGACGTACCAGCAAGTTGGAGATTTGTTCACCACTGGCACACTTTTGTGCAGTGAAGGTGCCTCCTAAATTGGTTCTGAACCACTCCACGCCAAATTACAAACTGAGTCCAAATTATCGCACTGACCTCTAAGGGTTGAAAGGTTCGAGTCAATTGCACTCCTGACCACGCCCCACCGTCTAGGTGGGCGTGGTCAAGGTGTGGTGTCCTTTGCACTTGTGAACATAACCAACTGTGATGTGGTGTTGTGACATCTGGCACTACACGGTTGTGTGGCCAGAGCATGCAGCCACTGCTCGACGGCAGTAGGACGTTCCCCGTGTGTACTGTTACTTTCACTGAACGTGCATGTGTGTATGTGTTTGGTTGTGTTTCCAAAGTACAGAACAGTGATGTCTCCCCACGGCTAAACAGGCTCCCCTGGCATCAAATACTTTGGAACATGGTTGCATGTCAGTCATCTTCCCTAAACCCTCTGTCAGATGTCTAGACTGCCTCATCCAGCTACAATTAAGCAGTTTCTTAATTGTAGGTTTTAAGCTAACCTATGCCCGGGCATAGGACAGGCAATCAGCCCAGGAGTGCAGAACAACGTTAAAAATAGAAACGGACCATCTTCGTGGAGCGGCATAGGTTAGCTTAATTATGGTCTTTGAAAGAGACGGAAAATGGAGAGTTGCTTCCGTGCCTCTGACTAACCACAGGTGCCTTGCACATGATGACTCACCCAGAGATTGATGTTATTTATTATGATTCTCATCAGCCTGTTTCCTAACTGATCAATGTACAGTGTGTGCATGGATAACTAATGTCTGTAATCTTAATTACACACTGAAAGACATCATTATCAAGGCTGCATTAACCTCATTTATAGACCAAGGCATACGCAGATTGCCCTTCACTTTGAGTTAAATCAACCTGAGGTTTTAAATAACTGATCACTGTCTGAAAACTGTCAAAAGAAAGGCTGTAGGCGTTTGTTTTTTTTATTTAAATAACTGTGTTTTAAAAATAAAGAATACTTCATTAGTTATCATTGTTAACTTGTGACATTACTGTAGTCTTAATGACTAAGACATGGGGCTGTGGTAGCTTGGTGGTCAGTGCCGTGGTCTTGTAATCCTGAGGTTGTAGGTTCAAGCCCAGGTTGCATCAGGGAGGGCATCTGACGTAAAACAATTGCCAAATGTTGCATGTGAGTTGCTCGCTGTGGTGACCCCTGAAAGAAAACTGCAGTCTTGATAATGTTTGACTCTTTTCCACATCTTGAATGTATATTTCAATACATGCTTCTCTTATAAATAAATGGAAGTTGCACTTAATTTTTTTTAACATATAATACAGATAAATGGACATAAATGTGTAATTTGAATTACTGGTGGTGTGCTATTACACAATAAACAACATTTACAATTGTTCCTATGAAACGTTACTAGACCCTTTTTTAATTTTATTTTCTATTTTTCCACAAAAATGCTAGGATTCTCAAAATACAACTAAACCCAAATCCAGACTGTTATAGCAAAATCACAAGAAAACCTAAATGATCTGCCAAAAAGATAACTGAGCTCAGATGGTTTTTGTCTCGCGTCTCTATCCCAGCCATCTGTCTTTATTAACTTTTTTTTTCCTGAGAACACACAGAAGCAGATCTATGTCACAAAACTACAACAAAACACATTTAACCACAATCGATTCATCCATTTTCTATCGTTTCTCGGTGGTGGGGTCGCTGATGTTACAGCTCCAGAAGGAAAACCCAGATTTTTCTCTCATCAGCGACTCTCCTGAGGGACTCCACATGGTATTTCCAGGTCAAAGAGGATACATAATCCCTTCAGAAGCTTCTGGGTCTGCTCTAGGGGTCTATTGTAATGGGACATGCCCAGAAAACCTTCACAGGGAGGCTATAGTCAGATGTCCAAACTACCTCAGTTGACTCCTTTTGATGTGGAGGAGCAATGGTTCTCCTTCAAGCGAAACACAGAGTTCTTCCAATCTCTAAAACAGATGGAGCTGATTCCAGCAGCTTTAGTCACGATCCATGTCTCATATCCATAGATGAGGGCTGCAACAGCTCAAGCCCTTCATCAAAAAAGATTGGAGCAACACCCTCATTGCTGCTGTTGGTTTGTCTCCCATTCGATCCTGGTTCCTGAAAAAGATCCCCGGATACTTAAAGTCCTCGGCTTGAGGAAAATTCTCATTCCAGACCCAGATGATTAACATAAACACCATCTAGTTGTAGGAAGTTTCTATGAATGCAACACTTTTCGTTTGTAAAGCTGTTCTGTAGCCTACGTGAGAAAGTTGGACCATCTTAAAAAGGAACTTTGATTTGATGCATTTCCGGTAGGAAGGAAAAAGGAAGGAAGCAAAAGCGTTTTCCACCAGACTGCAATGCTGTATTGATGGCAGCGCTGAAAACAAATCGTGTGAAGAGGGGATACAAAAAGAGAGGCAGATAAAAGAAGGCTAGAGTGACTTTAGGACATATAAAATAAAGGTTTCTTGACAGATATAAAGCAGATGATGTGAGCTGTGGAAGCAGAACAAAAACAAGTGCAGACAAGAGAGGAAGGAGGAAAAGTTTTCCCTCTGCAGAGGTTTGGTCCTGAGAATCTGTGTCAGAGCCTCATCTTGCACACTGACTCTCTATGTCCTCTACACTGAGATCACATTTATTTTAAAAAAATGAAACAAATGACCTTGTCATATTAAAACATCAACACTAGTTTAGTCATTTTAGCTGATCCTGGCTAACAAAGTTAAATGATCAATTATTTATAATCACTTCCCTCTTGGGTATTATACAGGATAAAACCTTAATAGATGTTTGTCTGCAGCCTGTTTCGAGTTGTAACTCGTGTCAAGTCATTCATCAATCATTCATGCACAATCGACCAGCCTCTCAATGACGTGATGAAAGTGATGTATGAAATAACTCCTGCAAAAATAACCCCTTGCTGCTCTTAAAAGGACAGTTGAATCAGGGCGTATGAGGCACTCAACGTCCTCGTTTCTTGGCTACAAAAGCGAAATGCAGATGTCGTCTGCCTCTCCACACTGCAGTCGTTTACTCCTCAGGTTTTCAGGGATACGTATCCTCTTTGCGTTCCCCTAAATGGGTCAGGATATCCACAAGAAGGAGGTACCCGCCCGGCATTAAGAAGGGCACTCTAGTTCTATGAAAATAATTTAAGAGGCAGAGACGCTCTGATGAAATTGAGGCCATCAGCCTGATTACAACTCATTCACAGTCTCCTCCATGGAGCAGATTTTGTTGCAAAGTTGAGCCATCGCACCAACAATCCAAACAACTCGTAATATTTGAAACCCTTTACACCAAAGGGCTGCAAGATACAAATAAAAGTGTTTGTGTGCACATTCAGAGTTGTCGCAGGTTTATTCCTGCGGTGGTCGCTGATGTTGAACGCTATCGATTATTCTATTTGACTGGGCGATTTTTCTAGAAAAGCTGAGCTCGACTTTCATTCTGCACAAGCTATTGTTCATTTTAGCAACCGATAAATGTGTGTGTAAAGGCTTTGTAATGTTTTCCTCCAAGCAGTAAACATGTTCTGTGGTCCTGACTTCACACAGAACTGTTTATTATCCAAGAGCCTGTTCAGAAAGCAGTCCAATAAAGGAAATTTTCTGCAATACTGCACATTTTGTGCACAATATGACACATACAAATCTATAACATCCAACAAAGAACCTCAAAACCACATTACTGGGATTGCTTTACTTTACGGTTTTGTTTTAATTGATTGAATTTTGTCTTTAGGGTTTAACTAGGAGCAGCCAACAAGATCAATAAAACCATCCACCAACAGCTAACCCTTTCAAACTTTCAAAATAAAAGCATCATTAGTGAGACGCTTACTTGAGATTTGCAGCCCTTTCACACTAACGTTAGACAAATATATGTCAGTAAACAAAACAATTTTCATCAGATTTTTCCAATCAATAATTACCAAATAAACTAAAGAAAACATTTGGAGTCACTCAGTAGGATCATTGTCGAAA